GGTTCCCCGTCCTTCCACGCGCGGCGCTTCCGGGTCCGGAACAGGCGCCGCCTGTGGCACCTTCCGCTGACCCTGGGCACGGGCGGCCCCCCCGACCCACAGCGCTGCCCAGATGCCACTTTTACCTCCTTTCCTTTCCTCTCCCCGCCAGATTTGCTCCCTCGGGGTCCTCTGCCAGCCCTCACGTTTCGATACAATTCCCGTATCGGGTTGTTTTTCTTTCCGCCTGTCGGCTTCTGAGGGCTGGACCGCAGCGTCTCGCAGACTGGATTCTGCAGCTCGTCCTCTTTTCTACCGAGAGGACTCCGTCACAGGGTCTGTGAGACTGACTGTTCTTGCTAAGACGAGATGAGAGCTAGAAACCGAAAAGGGGGCAGGCGGGGATGTGTGGGTGCCATTCACAGGCAGGACCGCGTAGGCAGCCAGGTTTTGAAGCGGGCGTGCCCTGTGTTTTTGGCCCAGGTAAATGCTTTGAGCGTCGACTGGGAGCAGCGGCATCAACAGCTGAAAACAGAGCAGGAGAAGGTGGTAGAGCTGGAAGCCCAGATAAAGCTGCTGAACGCCAAGCAGGAAGAAGCCATGGCTTCCCTTCAAGCCGACATGCTGCATGCCGCCGCCCAGATCCAGGAGAAGGAGGGGCTGGCGGAGCAGCTCAGGGCGGAAGTTGCCTCGCTGGAGGAGAGGGTCAGGGTCGCTTGCCAGGAGGCTGCCGAGAATGCAGCTGAGCTAGAAAAGGGCGCTCACGAGGCCCGGCTGGCTTTGGAGGCCACTCTTCAGCAGCTGACCAGAGAGGAAGCTGTGACCCAAACCTTGCCGGCGGGGCAGGACACCCTCCCGCTGCCTCTGTGCGAGCAATTCCTGCGTGGCCAGGACACCGAGTGGCCAGGAAGGTCTGAAGGAGCAGAAGCCGCTGCGGATGCACCACCATCCACAGAGGCGCCAGATACACCATCCCCTGGCGGCCTCCAGGAGGAGGTGAGCTCTGCGCCCAGGGATTTAGCTCAGCTTAACAGGCCTTGTGCTGGAGGATGGTTCAGCGGGTGGGGGGGAACCTCTGCTGAGGATTCAGGATGTGGGAATGGGAGTGCCCCCTTCAGCCCAAATCGCTGCAGCTTCTTGGCTGCAGGGTCAGATAAGGCCAAACTGGCAAGAGGGTGCCTCTGGATCCCAGGCTCCCCCTTCAGTCAGTGCTGGAGGACGAGGCTGGTTCTTCCCAGCTGCCTGAGGCCAAGTCTTTTGCCTCTACAGGTCTCTAGGTTCACGTGATCCTGACTCCTTCCCCAGCAGGCCTGTATGCAGCCTGTTCCACCTTCTCACTTGGGTGGCCTCTTTTCTCGGTGCACGTGGGTGTGGGAAGTGGCGAGGAAGCTCGAGAGCCAGGGCCTGACGCTTTGGCACTGCTGGTTTTGGGGAAGAGAGTCAGATTCCGAGCGTCATTAAGCATCACCCGTTGGAAGACGGGCCATGTTCTGGGTGCGAGAAAAGCGCAAAAGCTCAGCGGGACCCTGGGCGTCGCCTTGTTGGGAGTTAGGAAGGGATGCTCTGTGAGCTCCACCATCAGAGCAAACGATCAGGAGTTTTTGCCACGCTCTCCTTTTCTTCCCACAGGCTGACCCTAGAGCCACCAGGTTAGCACACGTCGTCAGGTGGATGGCTGCTTCCTCCTGCAGTCTTTTGCTTCTTAGCAGGCCTGCCCTGACTCCCTGGAGCCATCAGTCAGGGGAAAAAGCTGTGTTCAAAAACCCGCTCTCGTTTCAAAAATGCGCAGCGGCGTTTGGGAATCCTTTCTGGGAAAGGTTTCTGCTCAACTTAAGAGTTTAGAAAGCTGTATTATATTACCATTGTGTTTCTAACATGTACCTTTTGCTTCCCGCTGGAGCTGATTATCACTTGGTGTTGAATAAAATGTCTATTCCTGCAAAACTGAATAATCTTTCTTTCAGCGAGCATGAAAGGGCAGGGCACCCTGCGTGTCCTGGGCATGATGGAGCTTCCACTTGTCCTCCAGTGCTGCCCAGGCGAAACCTCTGAGCCTACTTCTGTTTCACTGCCCCGATTGATGCTGCTTCTATGTTCCAGGTATCTTTGCCCTGCCTGGCATTGCCACCAGAGGGTGCTCTTGTACTCACCAATTCCTCCTGAGCCAGCCTTTCCCAGATGTGTTGGGGCAGCAACTCCAGACTTGCTAATGCGCTTGGTGGTGCTAGCTTCATCTGAGCGGGGGATGCTGCCCGTCTTCCTGTTCTTCGAAGTAGATAGCAAAATCCTACTTGCACCCTTTTGGCACTTACAGTGGAATGTCCTGTGCAGCTTCACGGGTTGATTGTGAACTCCTTGTCTGATGCACTGACTTACTGGCAATACGGTCCCAGAAAGGCTGGGACACAGCGTCCTGCGTGTAAGCAGAAGAGCAGCTATCCAAAGGATTGTTAGGCCTGTGGCTCCCCATTCCAGATGCATTTGCAGTTTGAGATTTCAAAATGCTGGTAGAGAGTCCCCTCTGATTACGGGAAGGCAGCTGTTGCGGCTGTCCCAGCATTTGAGGTGTCTACAGTGGGGGCAGTGGGGCTTTCCAGAATCCATCCATTCTTCCTGGGGTCCTTTGCTCAACTGTGTCTCGGCTCAGGTTCAGCCCTCGGTGTAACCTTGCCTTGCAGAGAAGGCGTCCCCCTTTCCCTGGCGTGGATTCTTCCTCAGATTGAGGAGCTGCCAAGGGTTCTCGTGGGAAGCACGTCTTCCGAGACAGCAGGCTCCTGATCTTTGACCCTGGGAATCTTCTGGACCATTGCTCTGGCTGCTGCCCAGGCCTGGAATACGGACTTTTGGGCTGGAGCCTCAAGGCCCCTTTCCTTCCCCATCCTGTAGCTCTCTAGGCAGCAGGCGCAAGTACAGGGTATCGGGAAAAAATGGGTGCTCCTGGAAATGGGGACTTGACTAGGCTTTCTGGACAGGAGCACAGAACAGGTATCAAATGGCATTTGCTCTTGAAATGCTGCACGGTGGGCGGCCGAGGAGGGAAAAGAGTGAAATGGGAGTCTGGCCAGCACTGCCTTGCCCACAGGCCTTCTCAGTAAGAGCCAGGAAAACGACTGCCGGGACTGGGTCGGCCAGTGAGAGATGACCCAGAGGAGCCTTGTCGAGGAGCAGCTGACCTGCAACCAGGTACTCGGCTGCCGTAAGAGAGAGAGATCCTCCCCTTGCCACGGAATAAAGTGAGTCCGCTTCTGATCCAAGCGGTTGGCTGGAATCTGTATCCCCCCCAAGCAGGGGTGGGAGACCCTGCAAGTGTTAGAGTGAAACGCCCGTGAAATTCCCATTAAAGCTTCAAGACCAAGACATGGAAGTGCTGATGCCGAGGCCTCCCGTGGACCCCTGCAGGAGTTCAGCAAACTGCTCTCCTTGTTCAAGGAGCAGTTTACCTGGGCAGACCAAGACCTTGCAACACCTTTGTCTGCTTCAGCACCAGTCCCTGGAGCAGAGGATAGGCTTGCCCGTTGCCCAGTGAGGCATCTTCCTGGGGGTTTAGGATGACTACTAAGAACCCCCAGGCTGGGAGGCCATTTCCCGTGAAGGGTGGTTGGGCTTTTGCCAATGTTGCAGCAGTTCCAGCCACAGAACGCGAAGAGGGCTCGCGTGCCTTCAGGTGCTCCCTAGTAGCGGCTCGGAGGCCTGCCAAGCATCATAGCCACCTTCTGCAGGACTCGAGCTCAGGGTCCTGCTTCTCTGGAACAGACGGTTGGAGCACCAGCCGGGAGTCTGCACTGGAGTGACCCCCAAAAGTCTGACACCGTGTCTGGACCGGCAGATTCCTGAGGTGCCTTCCTGGAGAATTAAGGCCTTATTGAATTCCTCTCACAGCTGCTGATTATAGCCTTTTAGTTTTTATTGGTTGATTTTATTGCACGGCATTATTTTATGTTTTGAATATTTTATGGTAACATAATGAAAAGCGTATCTAAATTCCTGAAGAAGTAGAACATTTCTCCTCCCTCAATTTATCTCCCTTCTGACAGACTGCTGTAATTAAAGCCAGGGCCGATCACCACGTCCCTGTGGCAGCAAATTCCACCAAGATCTGCAGCCCATCGGTTCCAGCGGGTGACCGCAGGGCTCGAGCACGGAGAGACGCAGGAAAATATATCTGTAGCCGCTTCCTCTTCACAGCCGTTTTAAATTTACAAGCCTCGATCGTGGCTCCCTTTAGCA